GGGTGGGATAACCCCTGGCCAAGTGGTTGTGAGTCCCTCAAGGGTGGGATAACCCCTGGCCAGCAGCTGAATCCCCCTCCAGGATAACGTCCTCCCCTCCCCTCTGCCCTGTTCTGCCCAAAACCTCCATCCCAGTGACAGGCAGGGACATTCCTGTCTCTGATGCCTCACGACACTTCCAAACCACGTGGAGTTTCCAAAACCTCCTCGAATGCTCTGAAAATCCCTTCTGAAGGTCCCTGTTCATTCAAGATCTTTAGAGTGGCCCTGAATTTCTGTTTTAAACCCAATGTGTGTGTTCTGTCACTATTTCCTGACTGTTTTCTAGGAAATTATGCAAATGCATTGTCTGTTTAATTCATTAAATTAACCACGTGTTCAATTGATGATATTCAGACAGATAAAACCTTCAGAATGTCCCTTAAATCATATTTACAGACTCATTTTCCTTCGAATTAGCACACAGAATCCACTTTGGTTTGGAACGCTGCCCACCGGACTCATTGTGTATTTTCTAAATTAACTAATTAATTAATTAAAAATACATTGACATGCGATTCAAAACAAAAAAAAAAAAGGGTTTCTTTATTTCAGGGACATCCCACAAAACACATTTCTCAAGCACATTCCTTACCCCTCAAAATATTTGGAAGCGAGAGGTTCCTACTGTGCCTCGGGGGTTGTGGCGGCTCCGGCTCTCAACGGGTTTTTCCGTGTCAGTCGTCTCACTTTTTGGGAAAAAAACTGGTAAATCAGAGGTCGTGGAATTCCCCAGAGCAGCAGGAGCCCCTCAGCACCTCGAGCTGTCTGTCTGTCCTTCCTCTCCCGCTGTGTGTGTCCGTCTGTCCCCGACACCGTCACCAAAAGGTCCCCGACGCGTCCCTCGGTCCTTCCTGGGGTTGCGATTCCCTGTGGCCCTCAGAACACCGAGAGGGGTGGGATGATCCCAGTCACCCCCTTCCCTCCGCTCCAGCATCCTCCGGAGCCCCGGTGGGTAGTCCCAGATTTGGGGAGATGCAGGTGGAGGGACTTTAATCCCGGGGTGGAGGACACTCCCATCGCGGTGACACCACCCGCTCCCGGGAGAGGTTCTTCCCCCCCAGCAGGAGAATCTGCTGAGTCTCCTCAAATTTCGGTGCCGTGAGTTCCCGTTCTGGATTGGGAAACGTCTCTCCCGAAACGCCAAAGGCAATTTAACATATAAAAAGCGGATTTAGGGTGTGTTGGAGCGGTTGTGAAAGCCATAATATGGTTTGGATTTCATCAAAACTTCGCCTTTCCGTGGCACTTTGATGGGGAGATCTTTATCTGGAGTTATTGGGAGTCACTCATGACAGCTGGAAATCCAATGAGGGGCTGCAAAAATAGGGATTATGGACAAAGTGACTTTCCAAGATGTCATAAAGATACGGGAGCCCACTTAGTCATGGAGACCTGCCTGGATGCTCTGGTTTTATTCACCTCTCGATTACAGGGCGTGTTTCTGGGCAGCCCCAAATATGGCAAAAGCTCACGGAGAATCTGTCAACAACCCCGTGCTGATGAAAATCCCAAATTGCTTTCCACCATCACGCCCAAGCCGTCCCGGCCCACCTCCAGCAGCGGATAAAAGGGAATGCCCGGAGCCAGAGGAGCCAGAGGAGACTCCGAGCACTTCTGTCTGCCCACACCAGCTCCGCTGCTCTTTGTGCTCCTCTGGATTTGGATCCCGCTCGGGAAAAGCCGACCATGTCTCGTCAGTCCGTGTGCTTTGGGGTCGGAGGCAGGAAAGGGTTCAGCTCCTGCTCTGCCGTCGGAGGAGGATTTGGGGGCGGCGGCGGCCGGAGCAGGATCAGCTACAGCTCCTACTCCTCGTCGCGGGGAGGAGGAGGAGGAGGAGGAGGAGGAGGGTGCGGGGGCTTCAGCAGCAGGAGCCTGCACAGCGTGGGGGGTAGCAGGAGGGTGGCCATGGGGGGCTGTTACGGGGGCGGCTACGGCGGCAGGATGGGCGGCTTCGGCGGCGGGATGAGCTGCGGAGGGATGGGAATGGGAATGGGAATGGGGGGCTTTGGTGGCGGCGTGGGCGGCGCCGGAGGGATGGGGGGCTTTGGTGGCGGGATGGGAGGAGGGGGAATGGGCGGCTTTGGCGGCCCCGGGTTCCCCGGCCCCGGGATCCAGCCCGTGCAAGTCGACCCCAGCCTGCTCCGGCCCGTCCACGTGGAGATCGACCCCCAGATCCAGCAGGTGAAAACCCAGGAGAAGGAGCAGATCAAGACCCTCAACAACCAGTTCGCCTCCTTCATCGACAAGGTGAGGCTTTAGAGCAGGTTCTTTTTTTGGAGGAGGCATCTCAAGCAGCTTCCCCGGGGTGTGGAACGGGGTTTTTTCGCTTCCCAACAAGCGCTGGAGTTCTCAGAGCGGCGCCTCGGCAGCAAGTTGTAATTACCCGGGTTTTAATGAGCAGCACCGAACAATAGACGAGGTTTTGTGCTAATGGAAGATTAAAGAGAACATCTGCAGGACCTCCTGGGGCTCCTCGTGCCAAGTCAGCTCCGCAGCCTCATTTCGGGTGATTCAGGGCAAAGTCATCGCCGTAAACTGAATTGTCCTGAGAGTTCTCCTTGCTGGGCTTTGCTTTGAGCGAGACTTTCTCCTCAAAACCTGACTCCAGGGACTTCAGAGCATTAAACACCTCTCGGACACTGTGGGATCATTTCCATCTCAAATAGAAACCGAAGGAATAGCAAATCCCTCCTGAGAGAATTTATGGGCAGTTAGGGAGTAAAAAACCTCTTGGCCTCACTACTGGAAAGTTGACGGCAAAGCCCGACCCTGCTGGAAAACTGGGATGATGTTTCCTCTGCCAACATCTCTGTGTCCCAAAGGGAGAAGTTCAGAATGACTCAAAATTTAATTATTTAATGACTAATAAATTTAATAACGCTCCTCATGCACTTGAGGAGCTCGGATGCCTGGATGAGCCACAGCTGGGGGTTCGGGGAATGACTCCCTCGGGCTCCCAAAGCGCCCAGCAGTGGGATGTTCCCTCGGGAATGTCTCACACACCCCTGTTGGGTTCAGGTCCGGTTCCTGGAGCAGCAGAACAAGGTCCTCTCCACCAAGTGGGAGCTGCTGCAGCAGCAGGGGCCGGTGGGGCCGAGGAAGAACCTGGATGTGATCTTTGAGAACTACATCCAGAACCTGAGGAGGCGGTTGGACAACCTGCTGGGGCAGCGGGGGCAGCTGGAGTCGGAGCTGCAGAACATGCGGCAGTACGTGGAGGAGTACAAGAGCAAGTGAGTGCCTGGGGGGACGGGGAGGGACCACCAGGGGAGCTGGGACAGCCCAGAGACCCCCCCGGGGTGAGGGATGAGGGGCCCGAGGTGCCACCCTGCCCTGTGCCCCCCCAGGTACGAGGAGGAGATCAACCGGCGCACGGCGGCCGAGAACGAGTTCGTGGTGCTGAAGAAGGTGAGTGCAGAGGCATCGGGAGGGACAGGAGGCATCGGGTGCCACCAACTCCCTGGGGTGCCACCAGCACCCTGGGGTGCCACCAGCACCTTTGGGTGCCACCAGTTTCCTGGGGTGCCACCAGCACCTTGGGGTGCCACCAGCTCCCTGGGGTGCCACCAGCTTCCTGGGGTGCCACCAGCTTCCCAGGATGGGAGCAAGGTGTTGGTCATCGGTGGGATCTCTCCTTTAGGACGTGGACTGTGCCTACATGACCAAGGTGGAGCTGGAGGCCAAGGTGGGAGCTCTGACGGACGAAATCAACTTCCTGAGGTGCATCTACGAGGAGGTAGGAGCTCTCTCTAGGAGCTCTCTCTAGGAGCTCTCTCTAGGAGCTCTCCCTTCCCCTGGGCGAAGCTTTAATGAGGGTGTGGTGGC